GTCCCGTGGGGGTCTTCGAAGCGTGGCGGTTTGCGGTCAGCTGTGCACGACCGCTTGAATCCAGCATGCCGCATATGACCCCAGCCTGAACGCCGGCCACGCGACTGCGCCTTCCGCCACGCAATTGCCGCTTCCTGTATCATGGCCCGTCGACCTCCCCGCCTGACTAGGCCCATTGTCCTTCGCAGCCCACGGGGCTCGGTTCTGCCAGGGACATCGTCCGGAGTTGGGCGATCGGCTTCTTCCAGAGCTTCCTCATCCTTTTGCTTCCTTCGGAAGGCCATCCAATCGCGCATTGAAACCCTTGGCGTAGACATATCCACCTCCATTGTCCTCAGACTCGGGCGTGCCCGCGGCAGACCAGCCGCATCAAGCGGCGTAGCGATATCCCGTTGGCCATCGGCCACTAGGATCGGCTTGTCGAACTGTTCAGTAATCAGGTCTTCCGAATACAGAAAGCGGTACTCCCAGCTCCCAAGATCTAAGAGCACCACACGTTTCCTTCTGATCTCCCGGAGCTCCTCAAGAATATCTCTCTGTGTTGTCGTATAGTAGCGACTTTTTACTTCTCTTTCCACATTTCCAATGTCTATTGGTCTGATGGGCTTCTCGGTTATTAGCCGGTCTCGAATCATGTCGTTGATTTGCCACATTGCCACGCCTTGCTCCAAGTCAGGAGTGGGATCTACCAGCACCTTGAAATCAACCTCAAATTGGCGAGAATATTTCGAGTTGAGTGCCCATACTTGTTGCTGATTTGCCTGACATGGTGTCATAAAATGCAGCCGTAACGACTGCTTGACAATCAACTCTGGCGTACTGCATAGAAATTGATTTCGCCCCTTTGATTCCGAATCGACTGGTCGGAAACCTCCTCGTGTAGCAGGTGGGGTAGCGAGCTTGAAGTCCACGGGGACGATGTTGCCATCATCCCAGAGCTCCGCACCGTGGCTGTAACTCTGGTGAAGGTGGTGGATCGACTCGCTTTCATGGAAAGCATATGCACCCTCGGCGGGAGCTTTCTCATTTGCTTTATTGTCCGTTTTCGCCCTCATACCCCACTTTAGCTTAGAAGGGAGAAATACACCTGCGTTCAAAATCGCGTAGAGCTTGCGGACATCAGTAGCGTGCGAGTAGGATTCCCATTCTTCTACCTCTATAAGGTTATTGACCCAATCAGGCAGCCGGAACGGGATTTCCAGCACCGCGCAGGATTCCTTCTCAGCGTACTTCACTATACTCCAGTCGAACAACGCAGTGCACGATACGTCTGGTAAGTCTGTCGTGCGTAGTCGTCGCGGTACCAGGTATTCGATTGCTCTCCTTGTGCAGTGTTCTGCCGTGATTCGCGGAGAACGTGCGATGCGCATCTTCTTCGCCACCCATTCTCGAGCAGCGACCCGTCCCTTCGACGTTTTATACCACTCATCAGCGTCGTAAGACGATTCGACTAGATAGAAATCGTCTATCCTATTTTCGGGCTCACGCGGTACATGCATCAGTTCATAGTCGACGACCTGAGTATGGTCGAGTATCGTCTCGGTCGTTGGCAGAATGTCCGATCCGTCCCTTGTGCCGACTACCACTGCCTTCTGATGCTCCTCGCACGCGTTGAAGAAGTCGGGGCGTTGACCCTAACCTGCCCGAGAACACAGACTATGTGTTCCATGCGATTTTCTATGGTCGAATATTGCAGGACGCTCTGGATAATTGTATCCCACAAAGGCTTGCCGATAGTGCCCGGACCGTCGGACGTTGCTGTTGCAGCGGCAGACACGTTCGCCGCGCTTACCTTCGGCGCAGCCTTCTTGCGCGTCTGCGCCGTGAACAACATTGTCGTTCCTTTCTCGATCGCGTCGATTACTTTCTCTATACCTTCAGTCGGTAGCACTTCCATGTGAGATCCAGCTTCTATCTCCATCCCGTAGATATCGACATTGTCGTTGAACGGCGCCGTAGTGTTTCGCCTATCCGCCCATGCCGGTCTATCGTCACGGTGTTCTTCCAGCCATGATATGAACTCCTTAGAATTGACGTTCTCCGAACCAGGCGGCAAGTACTGAGGAGCACCAACATCACCGAACGGGAGTATCTGGCCCACCTGGCATTTCGCGAATCGTCCCTGAGTGGAAATCACATCGCTTATCATGGGTACTTCCACGCCTGGGGGCCTAGGCATCGGCGCATTGGCCGGCGATGATGGCGCCATTGGCGGCGGCGGCGGCGGGGCGGTCGACGCCCCAGCGCCATGCGGACGTTCAACGTCATCGAAGGACGGACAACAGAGTTCGTAGCAGACCTTCGTCGCATGTATAATGTACGTGGCAAATTCTATGGCGCATGAGTAGTTGTCGACGCCGGGTAAGAAATGCCAGTTGTCATTCTCAAGATGCTCTCCACGATGATACAGCTCCGAGCCGCGGAGCATGAGCATCTTCGGGTTGTAACCGGCCTCTTTGTAGAGGTGTATCCGATTTTGTCCCCACGCAAAGGTGCGAGATGCAAGAGTGTCCCAAATGGTGCAGTCTGAGCTGGTCTTGGCTTGATTCCAGCTTTCACCATCGCCGAGGGCGAGGAACGCAAGCATTTCGCCGGTAGTGTTGGCGACATACGCCGATTCGTCAACGACGTCGTCTATCATAGACAGTGCATCTCTTTCGACATCGTCGTAATCTTACGGCGTATCTTCTCTTCTGGCCCCCTTGACTCGCCTTTGCAGGCCTTCGCCGTGAACGCAGAGTTCGCTGCCGTTCCATATCATGACGCGGCAGCGAGTCTCGCAGCTCACCGGTGGTGGGGTCCAGTTCGTTGAACGTATGTTAGCCCGAATGTCATCCAGTGTTGCTCCGTTCTGGATCGTTGCATTGGCAGCGGTGGACCTGTTCTGGAGCTCTTGCAGGAGAGCAGCTTTCAACGCGGCGACCCCCTTATTGTTGACAAACGATATCGTGGAGTCAGAGGAGATCATGTATTCCACGTCATTATATAGCCGATCGCTCTCACTCATGCCGGCTCCCACCTTGCGGTGCCATGTCCTGGTCGGAATGGGCTTGTACCACGTCGAGTGTGGAACGTCAAAGGCCGCGTAGAGGTAGATTGCCTCTCCTGAAATGCGAGAAGAGGTCCCCGCGGCCCTGATGAGGCTACTCAGCGCAGCGCAAGCCTGCGGGAAGCTTAGCCTGGCGAATGATGTCACCGCTTCGGGTCGAATGATGCAGGCAAGCGCTTTCCCGATTGAGCCGACCGCATTGCGGCATTCGAGCTTCGGTACGTCGTTCGGTAATATTTTCAGATCCATTCGAGGATCTGGCCTTTCTGCCGATTTGAACCGTTCATAACAATACTCCAAGGCATTCCAATAACCGTGGATGCCTGTTCTATCGGCGAGTGCACCTCGATGCTGTTTCTTAGTTTTTCCGTCATCGTTCCCCCTTGGGCCGGCAGCCATTGGCTGCTGTGGCGCGTGAGCCGCCGGGGCGTCGTAACTGTGACTCTGGACTCTTCGGCCCTGCCCTTGGTTGCCGGGCGCTTCGTTGTCGACAGCATGGGGCCATCCCGGCGTGTCCGCGTCCACTTCCATCGGGGCTGGGGACTGAGTAGCCTCGACAACATCGTCGTCAGGTGTCTTCGTTCCCCCTTCCAGCGTCGAATCTGGCCCATCTTCGCCGCCCGGTGGCGCGTCTGTCCCCATCTCCTCATCTGCTGGAATGGGGACTTGCTCAGGATGCCGCGTTGCTTCGTCGAACTCGTATTCTGAGAGGTCTGGCGGCAACGAGGTGACCGTTGGGGGCGACACGGGAGCCGGCCTTTGCTCCTCGGCTGCCGCGGAGGCGCCAGCCTCGGCATGTTGCCGTCGCTCGGCTTCAGCAGCCCTGCTGTCCTCGCTCATCTTTTGTTCCCTATCAAGACGCCGCTTCAGCCCCTGCGTTTCGCTCGTGGCGTAGTCGCCTGTGGCCTGCTGGTCCATGTCGTCCGAGCCATGGGCTGGAGAACGTGCCGGGACTTCCTCTTGTGTATGGGGTACTTGCTGCCTCTTGTTGTTCCTGGAATCTGCGTAGGCGCTCATTCAGTCCCTGCATATCCTGGTTGGCATAGTCGCCGGGTGCCTGCTGCTCTCGGCCGTCCGCGGCACCCGCAGATGGAGTGCGCGGTGGCGCGGGAGGTGCCCTTTTCTGCCTGGGCTGCTTTGCAGGCGGGGGCTCGCCATGCTCCTCAGCAGACGCATATTTGCTCGGCGGTGGCGACGGAGGCACTCTCGCGTCAGTTGGACTTGGCCTAAATCCAGGCGGCGGAGGCTTTGCCATCGGCGGACTGGGGGGCGGCTCCTTGCTCGGTGGCGTCTGCGAAGGCATTTCATCAGGGTCGCGCGCGGTCCGTGGCGGCGCCGTAGGAGGTGCCATCCCCTGGGGGGGCGCCTTGTACGGAGGGGCGTAGCCTGGTGCGAACGGCTTAGGTCGTCTGCCTTCGCCTTGGGTGCTGGAGCCCAGAGTCGTACCCGGAGCCTGCGGCTTCGGGACCCTCCCTTCGCCATAGGCCGGATGGGAAGGCGGTGCGCCAGAGGCCTGAGACCTCGGCGTTCCCCCCTCGCCATCGGCGGGATTGGAGGGCGGCGAGCCAGGGGCCTGAGGCTCTGGCGTACGTCCCTCGTTCGGTGCATTGTAAGTCGGGGCCGCGCCGGGAGCCGCAGGCTTCGGCTGGCCCTCCTGCCTTGTGTGCCAGTACGGCGGTGGCGCCTTGGGGGCCTGAGGCTTCGGCGGGCGGCTCTCGCCCTGATCGCAGTACGACGGTGAGGCCTTAGGACCGGGGGGGTTCGTCGGAGGCCTCGGCGGCGCCTTCTTGGGCGGTTATCCTCTGGGAGGCGCTTTAGGCGGAGGAGACGGCGGCCCCCTCGCCCTGTAGTCCCGGGACGGCTGCCTCGTGCCATCTCCCCTCGTACGATTCCAGCGATTCGGTGGGTTGCCTCTTCCAGATTGTTCACGGCGTGCCGATGGAGGGGCAGCTTTGCGCTCAATGTTGACGCACCTCGCTGTCTCCCCCTGCAAGACTCGCTGTCGCAAATTGAAGTATGGCAACGGCGCCGAATAGAGGGGAGTTGGGTCGAAGTCGATCTCAGGCATCCCCTGATCACGCCTGTGGTCGGGCTCAGGCGATATGTGATCAGCGCGCTTCAGCCAGGTGCAGTGAACAAGGCTGTCCTGGAACTCCACTATGTACTCCTGGTCGCGTGACTTCCGGCGCCCCCCCAGCGTTGCGCGTGGCCATGGATCGTGCGACCATGCCTGTCGCTCGCTGGGGCCCCGGATGCCCGGGTAAGTCTCGTACTTCTTGACATGCGCCTCCAGGTATTGGAATGTGGCGCCTTCGTAGGAAGTCATGACCGAGACATCCCGCAGCAGCATTTTCCGCAAAGCGAGCTGTCCTGAAGAGGCTCATTCTCCCTCTGCGGATAACGCACAGATCCCCCTGGTCCAACCGGGACGCGGTCAGGGTCGCCGACCCTTCCAGTCCACGCGACTTTGTCGGGCATCGTGGCATGGATGGAATGAAACCGGTCGGCAATGTGCCTCCGCGGCCTATTGGGCCTGCACTGACCTACGTGATCCCAGACTGCATTCTCGTACCACCTGAAGAATTGTCGTGGGGACATTGTCTCCAGGTCATGAAACAGTCGATCAGTGGGCTCCTGAAACCATGCTTGAAGCAGAGCCTCATTCTGAGCCTGGGTGAGGAATGGTCGGGTGATGCGGTATTCTGCATGCGCCTCAGAGCCCATCCATGGCGCAATCACCGCGGCACTCAAGTCCTCAACCAGACGAGGTCCGCCATATTCTCGCGGCACTTCCCAATTTGACTGCTTTCCCCGTATTGCGGGCAGGTGTCTGCCCTGCGCGGAGGGCTCAAGCCCCGCGATGCAGGGAACGTTGCCTGCGCTGGCGGAATTCCACATGGTTTGGTAGACATCCTGTGGAATGTCCACGGTTGGCTGGTATGATGGCTTCTTGATCATCTTCGCCAGCAACTCGGGCTCATCGAGCCCATCATTCTCGAACTTCCTCCGCTTGTCTGCATGCAAAGCAAAGAACGCCTCGCGGAAGGACCGTCCGATCTCAGCACCGGGGCGCAACCCCAGCAGCGCGCGGTGAATGCTCCCACGTTCTTTTCCGACTCAAGGCTTCCGCCGTGCTCATTGCTCTCGTCTGCACCTTCGGTGGCATGGAAGATGAATATGTCTGCGTTGTCCCAGCGGCCGCGCGGCAACGTGCACCGATGCGGGCGCTCCAAATAATAATCCATTGCACTTCCCGCGGCGTAGCGGCGCCCGAGGTTGCAATCACTCAGGACATGCTTCGCGAGGCCAAGAAGACCGTACATCTCCTTTATAAACGCATTGAATGTGTCCGAATCTTACATGTCCTTGTCCTGAAGGATGCGTTTGATGGGTTCGCATCCAAACACGTTCGGGGAATCTTGCCCGTTTTGGAACATTGTTCCCCAGAGTCCGCGCAACCCTCCGTGGGTGATGCAGGACATTGTCCTTTGCTCGTCCTCCAAGGGCAGTCCCTTGCTGATAGCGGGGCACCCAGTGCCCTTCCTCACATAGCTTGCGGACCTACGGGGTCCGCGACCGATGGATGAAGGCGCAGCGAGGGCGCCCGGGGTTTGGCCGCGAGGCGCCGGCAAGCAGCAGCGGCGCGAGCAGGAAGTGATGGCCGGCGAAGCGGCCGCGTCGGGGGGCTGCGCCCGGGCCGCGTTAAGAGCCAAAACAGCAGCGGCCATAGACATTCCGACGTGCACATCGGCGGGTGCAGCATTCGCGGGGGCATGGTACATTACACACGTGCTCACCTCACTCTCGAGAGCCTGCAACACCAACGAATGCACACGTCTCGCGAAGTCATCCGTGTAGTCTTCCGCCTGCTTGCAATCCCTTCCTCTCGCTTCCATATGCCTGTGCCTTCCATCGCACCTGCGTATCAAATCTTCAGCCATCACGCCAGAGGACGATGCAATACTCCATGGCTTTTTCATGCATTGCCCCTTGCTGTTCTTAAGACCGCAAGCACATCCATGGAGCCTAATTTTCGTCATTTTGTATTTACTCAGGAATTCTTTCACATGTGGATCGCTCCAGTATCGACACGGGGTCGGCCACTCGAGACAAATCTGACCCTTTCTCGTCATAACCTCGTGCCAAATCGCGAGCTACTCATAACAGCGCCCTAAAAAGTGTCACGTGACCCCTCAATGTCCTGAGAGCTTTTTCGTTGTCAGAGCGGTAATACATGGCCTCGTTCACATGTTGCCATGGAGACCCGCCCGTACACGGCATTGAAATCCACAATGTTATGCGTCTGTCGGTGGTAAGGCCTTTACTCTTTAATTCTTTTCAAACTCAATTATCTTGGCCACCGTAAACGCTTTTCCTTCTTTGGTGGTCATATCTTCTTTCTCCGTTAGACGCACCACCTTACATTGACCGTCAAGGATGAAGGCTTGGTTTCCTTGCCGACTGTTAGGTCCGCAACAAAATTCTTAGAAAAGGCGTCGTCGCGATCTTTCGCTGGAGCCTGCAGCGGCATCGCGAGCGGCAATCATAGCATCGCTATGTGTTGCTCTCCGTTCATCATCGGTATCTTGGCCGTTCTCTTCATCGAATGACTGGGCCTGTACCTCTGAAATGCTTGATTCACTGTCCGTTATCTCGAACAGGGCCATCATTTCTTTGTCTTCTTTAATCTTTCGCTGACGGTAAATCCTCCGTTCGTTGCTGACCTCCGCTGGTGTTCCTGCCCGGAACCCTAGGATTTGGCGGAGAATCAGCAGGAGGTTTGCCTTTGTTTTGTCTTCTATGCTTTTTCTTGGCCTTCTTACTGGGTATCTTGCCGCCGTTCCGTAGCTTGGACTGCGCTCCTAGCTTCGGCTTGAGAATCCCCCCCGGCTTCAGGGGAAGACCCGTTTCGCCTTCAAATAGCGAGTCCATGTATTGTTGATGCGACGGGGCAGTCCAGAAGGTCGGGGCCACGACCTGCACTAAGTACAGCACTTTCACCCACGACGGTGGCCGTTCAAACCTCTTGGTGCCGATGTCGGCGGCCTGATCGTGCGTTGGGCAGTATGCCAGGTTCACCGTGCCCCTGGCGAACTGCTCAGCAACGGCAGAAGCGTCGATTCGGTGAGTACGTGGCAGGTGCATAAGTTTCTGTGAGCCACCTGCCTTACAAACCTTCACGACGGCTTGGTTGTCTTCCATGAACTCTGCCCTCAGGCATCGGCCGAGTAGCATCTCCAGCAGTGGGAGCGCCGGCAAGAGTTCTCTTCTGAGTGCCTCGTCAGCTGACACGATCTCCGCTTCCACTGTACTATGAGACACAACGGTCTGTCGTCGAGAATTGCAGCTTTGAAGCGCTCTTGTGCTTGGTCCCCACAGAAACTGCGCATTGGCACTTGTACTGCGATGAGTGCAACTGTCACTTGCCAGATCGGCATCTGCGAACTGTTTTAGCCATACATCTTCGCGGCGGTCCCCAACCCAGGACACTAGGCGGTAGTCCACCGTTGCTTTCAGATAGCAGATCATGCGAAACAGATCTATATCCCGTTGTTCAGTCCACTTAGTGACACAAGCAGCTGTCTTGCAGACTGCGCTCAGCAGATCCGGATGTGCCATCCGTGCCCCATAGAGTATCTTCATCAGTACCTTGGCTGCAATAGGCTGCAGTATACCTGATGGGGCAGGTGGCTTGGGATCAGGAGCTGATGAGTCCTCCATTGGAGGACCTCCCACGTGTATTTCTGCATCGGGAGGCCCCGTAGCAGCATCGATTCTCAAACGCGCTGCTAGGGCCTCTTCGGCAGGTGCCAATAGTTCTCCGCGTGGCCCTCCTTGCCCGTCTTCGAATGAGGTTAGCTCAGGGCCGAAGGGAGTTCCCGACAGCGGATACGTGCTTTAGTCGGCGTCCGTGAGCTCAGCGTATAGCGACGCGCAAGACTTGAAGAATTCTGCCATATCGTATTCCATTATTCGTACTTTCTTCTTCAATCCTGGCTTATACTCTGGCATTGGAGGCGGCTGTGGTGTAGCGGGTGCCGCGCACCGTCGCTCACGTGACCCGCGCTGTTCTGTGGGGCTCTGAGGAGTATAGACTGTGGCCTCAGCATCGCGGTCTTGGTATACCAGTCGCGTGGTTATGTTGCGTGGGCCATCAGGGAGGGGTGCCCTGAAGCGCTTTTCAGCGACGGCTGCGGATGGTGCCACCATCCCGCTGGTGTATTCGGTGTCGTCGAGTTCCTCCCACGTGTCATAGTCAAGGGTAATTATTCGGAGGACCTCTCTTCCCTTTGGGCCGCCCGGTAACGACGTGTGGTATCTGTTCGCGTTGGCATCATACCTCACCCACACGCTGTGCCCTTTGGGGGCATGCAATGATCTGTCGCAGTAGATCGGGATCATTGTACCCTGCTGCGTTGCGCCATGGGCGACTGCAGCTGATTGGTGTCCCGCTTCGGCCACGCCATCGGCGCTTTGGCCCCTGGGAGGTGGCGGGTCCAAACGGTTGGAGCGACGCCTTGCCAATCTATCCATTTCTCCGAAATCCTGCGTTCGCATCCGAGGTATCTTCCCACTGGCGTAGGTGGGTCCATATCGATCCCTTCTGGTGCAGTCTTAGATGGGCTCGATATAAGATTCCATCCTGTCTCCAGGTTCCGAGAGGGACCCGCGAGTTTGAAATCATCAACGTATGCGATTGAAAACAATTCAAGCTCTGGGTGCTAGTAGCAACTCCTCCAGCAGGTTATCGGTACAAACCCCTTTGACATGACGTGCGCCTCACAGTGTTGTTCCCAGAGTCCACCAGCATCAGTGAATCAGGGTGCCCGTACAGTGCTCATAGCAGAGGGCATACTGGGTCGATCATGCCTCCCCAGCTCCCAGGCCATGCTTCCTTAGGCAAGCGCGCCCACGTCGGGGTGCCTCCCAGCTTCGACTGAATGCATGCCTGGCGGGCATCTGCTTGTCGTATGTCGCGCCCCTCAAACAGGCCGTATGTGTCAGCAGCTTTGCTTGCCTGCATGGTAGCCGGACAGCTGGAGAGCTCTTGGAACAGCGCAACGTTCTTGTCTTGATCAACAACATCGGATCCGTCAAAAACTACCCTCCCCTTGAATTTGCGATCTTTGTGGCCTTCAGGGAGTTCGGCGTTCTTTTCGACTAGGACCGCGAAGAGTCTCCCGATGTGGGAGGTCTTTCCTCTCATCTTCGCTCTGACGTCGCGGAGCTCTTGGACTTTCGATTCGTCCCACGTCTTGATCTTTCTTAGACGTCCCCACTCATCCACCAGCGCCTTCGGAGCTTTTCCATTGTTGGCCGCCTCGGCCTTGGTGGCAGGGCGAGCGACACAAGCGTAGTTCGCCATCTGGGCATTGCCCGGCGTCGATGGTGGAGCAAGAAATTCTTCCTTTTCAGCAACCTGCATAGAGTCGGTGAATGGGTTGTAGCACGGCCGGCGCGCTGGCTCCTTTTCCCGGCGAGCATCGTGACCCGCATCTCGCCCGCGAAGGGGCATGCGAGGGACACCGCGACGTCGGGCCGCGGCCGCACAGTCAAGCGCCGTGCGGTCCCAGTCGCTTTCACCATCGTTGCTCGAATCCCGTCCATCGGACGGTTCCGATTCTTCTTCTGGTGTGCACGCTTCTGTGCACCATTCCTGGAAGTCGTTCAACGCATCATCATCCACCTGGCCTTTTTCTTGAAGGGCGGCCGCCGCCATGACATGGGTCGGTGCCGGTCGAGGTATGTCGATGCCTATTGCCCTCGAGAGGTCAATGTTCGGTCCCGGATCCTCTAATCCATAGAAGCCCTTCTTTTCCGTTTTGTATTCTTCAATGAGTCTCTTCCGTTCCGATCCACTTGTCTTGAACCATCGGTCAGGGTGGGCGCCTGGGTTAATAGATTCCTTCTGTGTACGTCGGAGGAAAGCGTTTCCGTATACTTCATCGTACACGTCCACCTCGTTAAGCCTCCTGTAGTAAGGATCATAATAGAATACCACTCGAAGATGCGCCGTCTTTTGCTTGTCCTTCAGT